TGGCAGCTTTGATGGGAGAGCTGTTTTCAAAATGCTAATGCCCAATTATTGATCTAAGAGAAGCCTGGAATACACTAAAACAAACAAACAAAAACCCATAAATATTTTATTATAAAAAATTTCAAACATTTACAAAAGTAAAGATAACAATTCAATGAATTCCAGGTAACCATTACTCAGTTAAAATATGTTCAATCTTGCTTCATTTAAATCTCCCCCACTTCCCTTCCTACCTTGTCTCACTCTCAAGAATTGGAAAGCAAATCCTGTACAACATATCATACCATCCATAATATTTCAGCATGACTCTTTAAAAAAGATGGATTTCTTTTTTAAAAAACAAAACCACAATATAATTATCTCACCTAAGAGGTTATGATTCTTGAATACTGACTGTCATGCACGGCTTAACAACAGAAATCTGTTCTGAGAAACACATCATTAGGCAATTTCGTCACTGTGCAAACATCATAGAGTGTATTTACACAAAACTAGATAGTACGGCCTACTACACACCCAGGCTATATGCTAGCCATAGGAGCAACAGGAGCCTATTGTTCCTATGCTACAAAACTGCAGCATTTTACTGTATTAAATACTGTAGGCAACTGTAACACAATGGTAAGTATTTATGTATCTAAACATATTTGAACATAGAAAAGGTACAGTAAAATTGTTATTATAATCTTGTGGAACCATTGTCATATATCCAATCTGTCACTGACCAAAACATCATTATGTGGTGCATGACTCTCTAACAAATATATAATCAATGTTTTAATTTTCCCAACTTTCTTGTAAATATATATTTCAAGATATTTTTAGGGTTTCTATGTTTAAGTCAGGAAGAAATAATTCCATATATTGCAACTCGTTATTTTCCCTAAAATGCTTTGATCTTTATAGGCAATCCCTCTCCTCTTCTCCACACTTTTTCTCTCCCTTTTCTTTCCTTCTTCTGTCCCCCTCCCCTCTTCCTGAAATTTATTTTTTGAAGAAAACAGGTCACTTTTCCTATGGATTTCCTAGCTGGATTTTGCTGATTATCCCCATGATGTCATTAAACATGTTCTCTTGTCCCCTGTATTTGCTGCAAGTAGGTAGCGAGATCCAGAACAGGGACTGACAAACTCTCCCTGTAAAGGATCAGACAGTAAGTATTTTTGGCGCTCCAGGCCATATGGTCTCTGTAACTGCTATTCAACTTTGTCTGTAAACAAAAGCAGCCATAGACAGTATTAAGTGAACCTCCATGGTTGTGTTCTAACAACACTTTATTTACAAACACAGGCATCAGAAATGATTGGCCTGAGGGCTGTAATTTGCTGACTTCTAATTTATGGGCTTATTCAGATGTTGATTCAAGCTTTTAGCAAGAATATTTCATAGACAGTGCTGCACACCCTCATCAGGTGGCATATAATGCCTGATTGCCCTTCTCGTGATGTTGACCCCCATTGGTGATCATATCTAGGTGCTATCATTTCAATAGGGACTGCAAAACGGGAATATTCTTTATCCCTTTGGCACTTATTAGCTTGAGTACTTCTATAATAAGAAACTTTCCCTCTCAATGATTTTGTTAACATGGGATATAATTCATAAAGGAAAGGCAGAATAAAAGCTTTCTTCTTTCATATGTAAACAATTTTCAATATATTAAGTTGGTTACTTAGCATCTTCCAAAGGTAACCAATGAGGGATTCTTTTTTTCTTTTTTGGTATTATGAACTCTTGGGTTTAAACCTTATTAAATGCTTTCAATCCACTGTGGTTATTATTCTTACTGATGTTCCAATTATCCCATAGATAGCCAGTGGGAGCCTCTTCAATTTGACTCCTGAGAACTTTTGATATACCCTCAGTAGTCCTTGATACCATCCTTCCTATGCTATCTGTACGTCCAAATATTCCAGTCTAATCTTGTACAGTTCCTGCTCTAGACCAAAATCAGCTATATCCCCAAGGAGTCATGGGTGGAGGAGCTCATTGCTACTTGATTAGTTTCTAGACTATTTCAATGAAAATATTAGGAAATGTGTATATTTTTAATAGATGAGATTTCTCATGAACCCATATTCATTCATACTGATACTTCCAATTCCAATTTAAATGAATCTCTTCTAAATTGTTTCTGTTTCACCTTTCCTCCATGCTGAAAATCCTAGTTCCCAAAGATACCTATACAATTAGTTGGTTGCTTTATTCCCCTCGCAATTCTAGCCAAGACTGAGCAGACTGGATTGAAGACCAGCTTAGGTGAGGTATAAATAAAGAGCTTAATTTCTTAGAAAAGGACTTTTGCACTTTTTGAATCTTCTGTATCCTTCTGGGTCTTAGGCTATTAATAAGTAGGCACAATCATCCCATAATGGCTCCTTCAAACTAGGGACACAGGGCCTGTGGATTTCAGAAGTTTCAGTGAGAAAGGTGGAAATCAAGTGCATTTATGGGCTGTCACCACCTACTGCTCCTATGGCCCTGGTATGGGGTGACTGTGTCAGTCAAAGGCTAATTGGCCACTCCTCTATGGTTATACAGGAATTGAAAAATGCATTTATGAACAAAAGTTGTTGCTATCAAAAGATTACACCAGAAAGGGGGTAAAAATGGAGGTCACAAACTCTTCTCATTTAAGTTTAGATGAGGGCAGGAAAGCTACATATATGAATATATTTTATCAGTATACCAATAAAGAATAGAACAACTATGTAATATATTATACAGAATATATATTAATGTATTATATATCCTATCTCCAATTATTAAACATTAAGTACCTACCACATGCCAGGCACTGTGCAAGACCCTGGGGAATCAAAGATAAATAAGACACACTCACTAACTTTGGGGGAAACAGAAATGTAAGTAGATAAAAAGCTATTTAAAACACAATAATACCGGTGAAAAAGTGGATTTCACTCATAAAGGTAAGATTAATTCTGGACAGGGAAAATTAAGAAAGGTTTTTTTGTCAGAGCTATTTTTTTTCAGTTCGGTGGCAAAGAATAGGAAGTGTTTTAATATCCCAAGCTAGAGATTTCTTTAGCACACAGGAGGCCTGCCTCTCTGACTAGGAGGATACACCCCCATAAAGTTATTATCCAACTTCATGGGGAGATGGCGCAAGCCTGAAGCTGCCTGTAGAGGAATGGAACCACACCTCTGTTGATCATGAGCTGAGCCTGGGAGCAGAATGTTCTCCTTCCCCAATTTTAAAGCCCTAAAACAATACATAGGGCCTTTCCCTACCTAAAGGTCCATACTAGATGTCCCATAGACCACCATGAGCTTGTAATATCAGAGAAGAGAACCATGGCAGTCTTTATAGGAGAGTATAATCTGCCTCTTAAACAAGTTAATAATAAGGATGAGTCTATTCCTGAGGGTTCTCTCACCCATGCATCCCAAACATCCACTACCACCCCATCAATTCCTGTTTTAATTTTCCCAGACGAGGTGTATCAGAAGGTAAATGCCCTAATGAGAGATGCTGCCACAATATACAGGAAGGAAGACAAGGAGTGGGTGGGGGAATTTAACAAACAAACAAAATCTTCTCTATGAGGAGAGGAAAGAAAGTGAGGAAGAGATGCAAAACCAAAAACATAAGTAATAATAGAGAAAATAAAAGAGAAGCACTGATGGAAAATCACTCAGTGGGAGTTGAAGCCACTTTTATGTCTCAGACAGTTTGCAGCAGATGCTTTCATCTCATAAAACTAGGATTTCTGTTAAAATAAGTCTATGCACAAACCAGATTATTCTGACCTTAATAAGAATAAAAAATAAGAATAAGGGCTATATGACCTTAATAAGAATAAAAAACCAAGCAACATGTTATCTTTTCATGGGAGATTTAAGCTTTTGTCTTCTAAAAATGTATTTATTATGATACAATATAGAAATATCATAAGATAAATATCTGAAGCCTCTTCTACGGCTTTGATCTCCGTTAGCTTTGTTTCTTGGCCCTATTTGCCAACACAACCCAGGAAAGAAAACCTGCTTTCTAATCTCTGATGGAGTAGGGTTTATGTTTTGTTTACCTGCAGCTGTGTCTTTTTCCCCCATCTGTTTTTGGTGTATGTGCAGATACCAGTGATGTGAGACAACAAAGCTAAAGCATGTTGTTTGCATTTCTTATCAAAGAGCCTATCATATTTTCTAAATAATGAGTAAGTTTATGCTTAAGCTTTGATGCATTAAGGGAAAGTGAAACCTTAAAGGAAAAGTTCACCGGCAGCATGACTATGCTAACCATTTAAAAATATGATGAAACTCTTTAAAAAACATGAAATTGGAGTGGTACTGATTGTCTTCACGTAGGTGGGTCTGACTTGCTTGTACCTTGGGCCTTTCAGGGGAGCTTATGGCCACTTCCAGGGGCTGCACTGAAAGGGCTACCAACCAGGACAAAGGGATTTTCCAGTATCAAGTTTTGTTAACCAGAGGTAAACTATTTTCTTTCTGCCCAGTTGATTTAGTCTTTTTGTAGTTTAGTTTCTATATGTATGGATAGAAATGTCTGCTAGTATCTAAGGTCTAGAAGATTGTAGAATATCTAAGATGGAAAGAACCTTAGAAATAGTTTAGTCAGCTTTCATAGATAATAAAAATCAATGGACACAGATGGTTAAATGACTTTTTCAGAGTGACATATCTCAGTGTTGGAACTTATTGAAGATTATTCTAATTAAATATCAGAATGTAATCCTCTAGAAGAGGCTAAAATATACACATTTCAAATTAAATATTACTCTTTCTTAGGAACACATACAAAAATACTGAAAAAGTATTTTATTTATTATCTAAAAATAAGGGCCACAGAAATAGAGAAAATCAGAAGCAAAGACATATCCTCAATTTAGTATCCAAAGCAGCAATAAGAAACTTTAATAGAGTATAGAGCTTAAAGTACGAAGTGAAGGAGATATAAAATGTACCTCTTATGATGTGTTTTTTTCAGCAAAATAATTCCTATATATTGGATACCATACCTTTTTAATTTCAGATTTCAAATGACAAGGGTTACTCTGCTGGCTGAAGAGGGATTTCTTGAATCTCTCTATAACCCTTCTTTTCAAGTTGTGGTGCAAAGCTGGAGGGAGCTGCATAAAATAAGAAAACAATCATTACAAACAAATTGTTAACACTACACAGCTGACTGAAAAGGCATTCACTGAGGACCCATGTAACAATATTCACTCAATAGGACTACGTAAGAATTTGAATTTTACAGCAAATAGCATGACTAGATGCTATAATTTCTTACCCTGCAATTCAGAAGGAATATATTATTTTGCTCTTTTTCAAATGGCTGCTTCCATTTATCTTATTGTTTCTTCACTGATTGATATTATTGTTCATCTAACACATTATTTGTTAATTGCACACGTATATTGAATTTTGTGAAGAACAGCCTTGACACAGAATGATGCACTTTTATCAGATGTTTAGGTGCTTATAATATGGCCAGAACCATGCCACACACTGTAGCCGTGGTACTATAGGATCTGACACTTTGGACCAGGAAACACACATCTGCATCAGTAGTATATACAGTCAGATGCCTGTCTGGGAGTGCTCCTGAAAATTCAGCTGCAGAGAGGTCAGATTTAGGTACCAATCATTCCAGAAGAAAGAGAGGATAGATTAGTATATATTAAGACCAGACCAAGATGAGTTACATTTAGTAAGTGAGTAGTAGAAAGTCATGGTAGGATCCTAGAAAACATGGTAACAAAAAAAATGGGGATTAAAAAAATGATTTGTCATGCTTTGTAGGTTGGATCTCTATAAGAAAATCAGAAGTCTTGGAAAGCACAGAAAGATGAAGTGACATTCAGAAGAAGGATAATAGAAAAGAAATTGGGTCAGGATTAAAAGGGTCTCAGAGTGGAAATAATATTTGTTTTTATTTAAATTATGGAGAGAACTTCAAGGGAGAGAAAGAGGAACAGTCAGAATAAAGATGGCTAAGTGGAAAGGAAAATGTGACAGGAAAAGATCTCAATATTAAACAAGAATAGAATTCAAAGCTCAGATCAAAAGAAAGAAGAATGTATCAGAAATAATTATTAGCTTTTCTAGGCTCCCTTACAGGTTTAGTTGGTACCATGTGACTACTTTTGGCCAATAAAAATGATGTGTGTCACTCTGAGGATAAGGCAATTCAAAGTCAGTGTGTTTTCTCCACCTCTGTCCTCCCTACGGCAAGGGGCTTGTCATTACCATCCTATTCTGACCACGCAGCCACAAGAAGGAACAGGGCCACCTGAGCAGCCCAACTGGAACTGAGTAAGAAATAAACCTCTATTGTGTCAAGTCAAGGAATTTCAGGGTGTAAATGTTCTTGAAGCATAACTTACCTTATCCTATTTACTCAAGTTTTGTGAGACAGGAGGGCATATAAAAGATAATGGCAGAGCAAAGACTAGGGCCTACAGGGAGGGGCTCACAACACTGATTGCACGACCAAATAAAAACTTTTCAACATCCCAAACACAGTAGAATGTAGGGCCCATGATGAAGTACTGTAATTATATAAAAGATGAAAATAATTCAGTTGAAAATGTTTTAAAAATATATCTTTGGCCGAGTGCAGTGGCTCACGCCTGTAATCCCAGCACTTTGGGAGGCCGAGGCAGGCGGATCACCTGACATAAGGGGTTCAAGACTAGCCTGACCAACATGGAGAAACCCCATCTCTACTAAAAATACAAAATTAGCCAGGCATGGTGGTGCATGCCTGTAATCCCAGCTACTCGGGAGGCTGAGGCAGGAGAGTTGCTTGAACCCGGGAGCTGGGGGTTGTGATGAGCCAAGATAGTGTCATTGCACTCCAGCCTGGGCAATGAGAGAGAAACTTCATCTCAAAAAATAAAAAATGTATCTTTGATCCTAGTGTTTGAGTCTAAATAAGTTTAATTAGTGAGGAAATAAGACTCTTCTGGAGATACTGAAGCGCTTCAGTGTACTTTGAAACGTTTTGTAGGTTGGCAGCACTGACCTCTTTTCATGTCAATATTATAGCTTCCTTTTGCCTTAATCCAGATGGGACCCCTCCCTCTACTCCCAGCAAATAGTCATAATTGTTATTGTCCTTTCACAGGAAATGAAAGGAGGAAATTTTAAAAATGTGGAAGAGAAAGAAAGAAGAGAGAGGAAGGAGGGTGCAGGGAGAGAGAGATTTCTCAGCATTAAGGAGCAAATAGAAGAAAGATGAGAAGGAAAATGAGTATAAATGATATATGTGTGAGAGAGAGAATAGCAAAAGAGAAATGAATTTAACTTAGAATAGAAACAGACATGAAGGTGAGGAGCATGTGCATGTATGTTCCTAGCAGGAAGATGGGATGGAGTGATGAGAGGACCAGAAAGTACCTGGACAGAGCACAGGTTTAATATCCTTTTGTAATGCACCAAAAGTTGCCACTTCCCCAAACCAAACACCAGAGAGCAGTGTTGGCCCAGAACCCTCTGGTTGCTGCCCAGCTGACTGCAAGGGGCTGTCAAACAGAAAGGCAGCCAGCCTTCTCTGCTATGACTAACTTCTGAAAGTCTGAAACACCAGTGGGATGATAGCTTCCTTCAAAGGGGACTTAACCCACTACTGGAAGCTATGAGTATCAGATGATTAATTCAGGTACTCTGAGAATTTTTGCGATTTATTTAACTTGAGAAGCCTCTAGTTAACTTACGATTGTTTTTATTGTTTTACTGCTCCTGATGGCCTGAAGTAAGCCTCAAAAACTCATTTGAGTAAGTTAACATTCAGTCAGCTTAAGCTGCATATATATTAGAAAACTATTGATCTTACTGGAATAATTATCACAATGGACAGCACCCCATCTTTAAAGCTTTCATGCAAGAATTTAAAATTTTACACAAAATAATGACTCATGCATAGCTTAATTGCAGGTGATATAAACATAATAATATATAAGGACTATAATACTAAGAATAGAATATTAATATCTATGATTCATTTGAGCCACACACTATGACTACTCATTTATGTGCAGTCTCACTTTTTTCTTCACAAAAAACTTAAAAAGCAAGTACTATTTTATAGGTGAGGAAGTCAGAGCTTAAAGACATTATGTAACATGCGAGAATAGTTTCTGAGCAGTGCCTTCTAGCACAGCCATTATACTAGAACAGATGCCACTACAACTAGCATTACTGTAGGACAGCACTTTATAGTTTAGAAACATTTTCAGCCAGGCACAGTGGTTCATGCCTGTATTCCCAGCACTTTGGGAGGCAAAGGTGGGAGGAACGCTTGAGCCCAGGAGAGTTCAAGACCAGCCTTAAGCAACGTGGCAAGATCCATCTCCAATAAAGAAACAAATAAACAAATACTTTTACATACTTTATTTCATTTGAGGCAAATAGTCTCATAATCTCCCCCATCTTACAAATGAAGAAACTGATTCTTAAAAAGATAATTACTTCCTCAAAGTCACACACCTAAAAGCTTGGTTTTTGTTTGCTTGTTTTTACTGTACTACACAAAGTAACAAAATTAATGAAAACCGATCTGCATGTTTTATACTAGGTTTTCTCAAACTTGTATAATACTAATATTGGAATAGAATATATAGATCTGTATATGTGGAAGAATATATGGATTCTTTTAAAGAAATTTCTATATTCTCCAGTATCTCCAAGAATACATCAGAAGACTATCCATTGCTCACAGGACTCCATTTGATACTTAAGTTACTATCTAATTCTATTTTTTAAAAAGTTATTTTGACATTACTGCTTAAGAAGATATTTCCCTAAATGCTAAAACAGAATGTTCAAAGACTGTCATCAAACTAAATACACAAAACATAACACTTCTCTTAGAATTTACAAAACCTGAAAATGGGAGTCAATTTAAGAAATACAACTTTGCCCTAAATATCTCATTCTGTTAAATCTTGGTCACCCTTGCCATTAGTACAGGAGATCCAGATGAGCAGGTGTGGGTGGTTCTAGTCTTATCCATCACTACTGCTGAAAAAACATAGAACGTTTCACCAATGACAGTCAGTAGCATAATTTTCATTGGAGGACAACACATTGCTATTCCGAACCACATTTTTTTCCATTGGCAATAACTGTGGTTGTGAAGATGGGCAATCCAAAGGCGCTTCAGATAAATGGCTTGCCTGTTCTCTAGGAGACCAATGTTTGATTTTTTTTTTTTTTTTTGAGACGGAGTCTCACTTTGTCACCCAGGCTGGAGTGCAGTGGCACCATCTCAGCTCACTACAAGCTCCGCTTTCCAGGTTCACGCCATTCTCCTGCCTCAGCCTCCCGAGTAGCTGGGACTACAGGCGCCCACCGCCACACTCGGCTAATTTTTTGTATTTTTAGTAGAGACGGGGTTTCACCATGTTAGCCAGGATGGTCTCAATCTCCTGACCTCGTGATCCACCCGCCTCGGCCTCCCAAAGTGCTGGGATCACAGGCGTGAGCCACTGCGCCCAGTCCCAATGTTTATTTTTTAAAAGATGCTATATATCCTGATTTTCAAAGCATCTATTTAACAAAACAATCTAAATATTAAGAATAAAGTTAAATCCAGTGCTTCTTTGGGCTGTGCAGGTATCTCCTAAGCAATAACACATAAAGACTCACACTAAAAGGTAACATATGTATTTTAGTCACCTTATATGCCCAAAGGTAGATTTGGGGTTCCAGCAATAGAAATAAACCACTGATTTCATTCTTAGCTTGCTGGTCTTAAGATTACCATTTCAGTTTTGATAAAAACAGAGGTCAAGTCAGTAAGAAAGCAAGGTAAGGATTTTAACATCCTGCCTTATAAAATAGTTGCTTTTAGATGACTTTCACTGATCTGACTCCATGGAAACGAGACAGAAAAGGCCACCACCAACCAAAAGTAAGAAGTTTTCCTTGTAAGTTCATCTGCTGGTTGTCAGGAGATATGCGGCCCCTCAGTTCAGGGCAGCCACCAAGTGTAAGTCTGGGAGAGTGTGACTAGTAAATAAATACATTAAAAAATTGTCTTTTTGTTTGTTTTTCCAATTCATTCTTACTTTCAGTCTTTCTTTGCAATTAGCAGAGTTAGAAAACTCATCTTGGTCTTTTACCTATAGCAAATACACTAGTATAATATTTACGGGTATTTTTCTTTTTTATTTGAAAGTCATTGACTTTGCCTAGCACTGTAAGTTAAAGTTCCTCAAAGAGGAATCATTCCCGACTATGTGCAACGTCACAAACTTCAGAGTATTCTGGAAATACATTTTAAAAATCACAATAGTTATATTTAAACTTGTAGCAAGGAATGCCATTCTGCCAAAAAATATGAAATCATTTGTTACACTGGCGGCTCAAGAGCATAATAATATTTATAATAGTTTTATTCTTGCTTTAAACTACTTTGAAATCCAACAAGAAAATGGCAAATATAAAAAAAGTTTTTTATTACATAAAAATTAGCAAGACAGGCATATGAAAATTATATTTAAATTTCAAAGGATATTTCTCTCAATTTAATAGTTAATAGTTAAGAGAACTAAAAAGCTATTTAAAGCTATTTCCATAACACTAAAGTTAAGAATGCTTTTTCCATATTTCTATATCAGTATTTAAATGGACGTGCATTAATATAATCACTTTACTCAATATAGATATGGCAGATTATATTTTGATGTATTAATCAAGCTTCCCCCAATATTTCCCTGTACACCCTCACCCTCTTTTATGTAATTAGTTAGACAATTCTGTCATTGCCTAAGAGAAAGCTTGACAGCAGAAAATAGAAAAGTAATCCGTTTTAGACTCCTGCATCTCAAAAAGGCAGCCATTGGGAAACAGAAAAGAGCACCAGAGTTTGGACAAAACTTGACAGATAAGACCCAGGCTACTCAGCCCCAGGCTTAAAGACTACCCAGGCTAAAGGGAAAGCAATGAGAACTCAGAGGTACGGAGACACCAAAGAAGGCAGTTCCTTGCCTAGTCCCCTAGGTTAAGTGTGCCAGTAAGCAGCCTGTCAGCTTATCCAGGCTGTGATACTGGAACATTTCTCCCTTGCCATCTGGCAGGATGCTAAGCTGTATCAGAAGAGAGCCCTGGAGGGACGCTGGAGGACGATGGATCTTGTTTCCTGGCTCCAGTGATGCTCCTGCATTGCCTTGCTGCGGCAGCTCATAGTAAACAGCACAGGTAGGACCCCGAGAGGTTGGTGCTAACCCCCAGTCAGATCCAGTGGTATCAACTCTGCAGGTAGCTCCCCAGAGAATTCCACGGAGCAACATCTAACTCGGGGTGGCCTCCCCTGGTCCCATGGAGGGTGCTACCCAGCACAACACCCTCAAGTGCTGATTCCCAGCAAGTTCCTGGGCATAGTACCTCACTGTGGAGGGCTTGAGACACTTCGCTTCAAGTTTCTCCAGCATAGCACCTTACTAATTTTTCTGATCTTTGCAGGAAGGTCAGGACTTCGACCCAGCGTGGGAGTGTCCACTTCTATATTCGTTCCTTTCTTGGGTGCTCTGCCTCAGCCCTAGAAGTTGTGACTTCTTGATGTGCTCTTCCTACATTCTTTAGATTTCTCTTCCCCTCCCTAGTAGATAATACTCATCATAGTTAATAATTCTTTTTTTTTTTTTTTGAGACGGGGTCTCGCTCTGTCACCCAGGCTGGAGTGCAGTGGCCAGATCTCAGAGTTAATAATTCTTTATATTAAACCTTCCCTGTTGAAATTACGGTATGGTTTCTGACTACACCCTCAATGATACAGATACAGGTTTTAGGAGTGTCCCAGAAGAGCCCATACAGATAGGATTTGGGAATTGGTTTGATTGTGCTCTTGGAACTGAGTCCAGTGCTGAGTTTTGTTTGTTCCTTTGCTTGTTGCCAATAGGACATGGGATGCTAGTAATCCATGGCATGCAGTTGCATCACAATTAATCAGGTTATCATCCTGATGAAGTGCCAACTGAAGCAGGTGCCTTGGAAGCCCAAATAGCTGCTGTTCTTGACTGGCACACAGTAATGAAGAACACAAGGACTATGGCACAGAATGGATTCTTCTGAATGCACTGGAGCACTTACAGAAAGAAAATGACAAGCTTGGGTCCTTTACAGCTCAGTTCAAGTCATGATCTGAGACATGGAAAGATCCCATGATAGCCCTAAAAGAATCCATTGCTTTGTTCTGCTACGGTGCTGATATGGCTGATAATTGAAACTTAATTGAGCAGCTTACCAAATTACAAGGTCGGATGAAGTCACATGTTATCAAATTTCTCATGTGAAAGTTAGAAAAAAAAGAATTCTAAAACTTGGAATAGGAGCGTCTTGTTGAGACCACCCAAGTAAAACTAACAATCCTGAAACCAAGGTCACTCTGAGCAGCCTTCATAGCAATTAAAAATAGCTTTCCATTCTGGGTCTGAGAAGATGAGCCTTTCTTTGCTTGAAAACCCTAAGATAACCTAATGTAGGACAAATGTCTTTAAAAGGGATGTTCATTTCCTCATGAGACCCAACACAATGAGGATCAAATCCAAAACTAGGGTCCTATTTCAATATGATCCAGGGGAATTAGTATAAACTGTGACCCAGTAGGAAATAGGAAAAGAATTACAAGATTTTGCTATTACATTTCAGCAGCAACCCAGAGAACATGTGCAGGAGTGGATTCCAAGAAGGATAGGCCAGGAAGGGTAAAACTTATAGCACTACATCAGGCTGAATTCATTGATACGGGTGCACGTACTAGAGATTCCAGATTTCACATGTTAGCTCATGCAGCTGGAGGTAGTTTACTGGTTGTTTGACTAAAACTTGTACTTAACCATGGTCTGTGTTTGATGAGGGTAGAATGTCAGAGCATCTCTGGCATGTGGACGGGGGAATTCAAAGGCTCAGAGAGATGGGCTCATTGGGGTACATTTACCATGTGTGACTTGCACACCCACTCCCCAACCATATTCAGCAAGAACATCCAGAAGCCACTCCTTTCACTGAGGCATTGAGAAATACATTGGAGAGGAGAGCACTAGCATCCTTGATAAGCCCTGTGGTTGCTCTCCTTTGGAGGCCAGGTATGACACCAAACGATACATGATTTCAATGTATCCAGTTGGCAGGGGCCAACTGACAGCACTTGACCACCAACAGCAAACTGAGAACATCTTTCATAAAGGGAAGCGGGGAGGTACTATTATTTAGAATGCTTAGCCAACAGAGATCTTTAGTGGTGGTTAGTTGACTAGGGTGTTCCTGGAAAAGAAACAGATGGTCTGCCTATTAAAGTATTCCTTGATCAGTTTAACAGAAAAGAATATCTAGGTGTGGTAGACAGAAACCTGCCCTAAGTTGCCATTGCTACAGTGGAGAGTTACAGCCTCTCACACAGTTTCCAGATGCAAGTCAATTCAAAGACTCAGAGCCCCTTGATTAAGTGGAAAGCTGGGACCCCTTGAGGAAGGGCCCTGAAACATTACTACAAGTACACACTATAAATCTTCCTCCAAAGGAAAATTGCAGCCATTTACTAGAGTGACTGTTTACTGGGGAAAAGGAAATACACAGGCTTTCAGCGAATACTAGACACTGGTTGCAAATTGACATCAAGATTCCTAGAGTCTTACAATATTACTGTGGTACACCATTTTTAATGATTTTTTTTGCTTTGGGATGTTTTGGGTAGGGATGGGGGTTAGTTAAATGGATTATGAACCCAATGGGCCCAGTTGGTCCTTTTAACTTGTGATATTTCTCTTCAGTATCTGGATATTTAGTTGGAATTGCCACAACTGGCAGCTGACAGCATGCCCCATTGGTTCTTTGAATCTAGAGCAAGACAATGTTTATGTTTTGCTTGTGGATGTATCTCAAGTCCCTAGAATAGCATCTGGCACATAGTAGGCACCTAATAATTATATGTCAAGTGAGTGAATGAATGAATAAACCACAAAAGATATACAATTTTAGACTTCAAAATAATGTTGGCTTTCATGTCCAAAAGTCTTCTGCACTTCTTTGTCTAAAAAATATTTTTTTATTAACCATATATAACAGAGCCTTCAAGTTGCTTATTTCTAGACATATTTCTGTCAATAATTAATAGCCATTTTTAGCATTATTTTCTCAGTGCTAGAAGTCACTGAGATTTACAAATAGAAAGTTTTAACAACTCTGGATTTTGTGTGGTTTTGACTTTCACTCTCTGAAAGGTCCTACTTTCAACCTAGCATCCTCAGAATTAATGGATGGGCACAATTTTCCTTTTTCTTTCCTATAGTAAAGCTGCTTACAAGCAAAGAATCCTAACTCTGTCTCCACTTTCACCCCTGCAGAAGGGCCATTTGTGTTGAAGTTTGGTTTTGGTTGGGCACTAACAGTAAGAGAGGATGTTAGGAATCATAGGAAAAATCCTATATATTTGCTCTTTTACCCTACTACCTTCCCAGCTCTGCTGCTAAACTAGTGTCCCCACATGTATGTAGTTGGGGAGGATAAGAACAAGTACTCAACTTAAAGTCCTATAAAATAGTTCTTCAGCAATATTAGCACCAAACTTGCATTTAAGATGAAAAAGAAATAAAAAGCTAGAACACTGACCTGTGTGATATAGATTATTTTGTGCAGCTGAATTAATATCTGCTGAATAGGATCGCTGATCTGACGTACTTTCCTCTGGGACACAGCAATTCCTGCTGATGCTGTGGGTGATAAATTTTGTAGTTAGTCAAGTTCTCTTTCAAATGTTATATTAATGAAAAAATTAAGTAAAATTCTAACAATAATTTTAAAGTAAAGACTTCCCCTTATCAGTGAGACAATATGCAGAGACCCTGTAGTACTTCAATATTTTATGACATGGAATAAACAATATCTTCCTTTTACTTCTCAGACTTCTAAGTAACACAATGATATTACCTGTAATAACATCTGAAAGACTGCTTAGCGCTTGGACATTTTGCTGGCATTACAGCAGGCTGCCATCAGGAGTCAGCAGTGCCTTAGATACAGTGGCCACTGAAAAGCCAGGCTTCAGACATGTATAGTTAAGAGGCTATCATGCTTTTAAATTTTAAATTCATTATGCCCTCCATGACATATTTTAAGACTAATTTTATCAAAACTATGAAATGTATACACTGAATAGACATTCTTACAGAGCAAAAAAAGAAAATTTCTTTTAGCTAGAATTAAATAACTTTCAAATCTGTGATTATTACAAATTATAATTTTCACCTAGATTTCTCTCCAAGTCTAAGTGGGGCACATTTATAATCTATCCTGAATTCTCATCATACAGCCACACCACCTTCACAGTTTTCAGACTAATTTGGCGTCAAATTGTATGTGAGCTGCTTTTCCAGCGTCCTCTGTCATAGCCACAAACAGTTTGTTTTTAACCTGAGGACTATACAACTATTTAAAGGAATGGCTTTTGTCTCTAGATTACCTACAAGGCCACCTCTGCCTCTTTTCACTCACAGAACCACACTGGATAAAACAAAAAGAGACTTCAGATACGTGATGTGCATTGTCTTCCTTCCCTTCTCTTCCTTCTCTTTCTCTTTCCCTTCCTCCCCTTAACCGAGAATGTGCTTTCTGCAATAAAACTTTTCTTGCCAATTTCCTTTAAAAAAAAAAAAAAGTTGAAAGTTCCAAAGACCCTCTTTTCTTCCCTTCACACATTGAGCCACTATGAAGTTAAACATGAAGATAGTCATTGCTTTAACAACAGCTAAGCATTTTTAAAAATGCTTCTTTTATAAGCACTTTCTAAGAAAGCTTGCATATTTTACCATAAATATTTTGTTTTCAAGACATTTAAAGAGAACGTTCAATGTAGTCATTTAAAAGAGTCAACTTGTTTTATTATAAGCATATGAAAATGTATAAAGACATAAAATGCAAAAAAGAATAAAATATAAACATTCAAAGAAATACTGCTTTCTTTACAGATATCTTTACTGAGTTAGTTTATAATTTAGCACAAGAAATAATCTAGTTCTAGCTCATCTCCAATTAATACCTTGTTTAAATGTTTGAAATTTAAAGAGTCTATATCCCATGGACACAATGTTTACTCCTTTTAATATCAATTATTTGATTATTAATATGAGGTTTAATAAATACCCTTGGGATAAAAATATAAAGAGGCAAATAGAAAGAGTTAATGTAGCTCTAAAATAGAAAACAGAGAGCTGGATTGTCTGCTCCATCTTGTGGAGATGGTCAAGTGTACACATGCCATATTTTCTACAGTGGTGATTCTTGGAGAAATAATTCTTAAAATATAACTGTTTGTCTAGACCCAAACCAAATACTAGACACTGTGTAACATGACCAAGTTGATGTTGCTACAGAAAAATTAACTTTGCATTTTCTGAAAATGGAGATCTTGGTTTTTTAAAATCATTTTTATAGAAACTACTTCATGTTTTTGATTTCTAGATGTAACATTCATAGGTAATGAGCTAAAATCTCACAGCATGGCAGAGAGTTCTTAGGTCTGTGACGACATTTTGAATGGGATATCACATAGGTTTGACTCTACCTTGCCACAAGAATGTGCCCATCTGTGGCCCTAAATACAAAAACAAAGAGTTAGCTAGAATGTCTGCCTTCTGAATTAATCAACTATCCAATTTTTTTAACTTAAAAATTATTTTTCTTGAGACCTTTTGACCACTACCCTCACAATCCCAAAACATCCTTGACTTTTGGAAATACTTTTGTTTACTTAGTTATTAAAAAATAAAGTTAAAAATATTTAATTACACATGCTCCTATAAAAACAAGCAAGCAAGCAAACAAAAATGTTAGTATTACAAATGAGAAATGAGATTCAAGGCTCCTAGGAGCCACCATCCATCACAGCCACCTCCCCAGAAATAACTTGTGATATCAGAGTGGTGTGTTGACTTCCACTCACTTTTCTATCCATTTACATACATAAATGTATACTTCAAAACGGTACTTTTCAAACCATACTTGAGTCCTGAAGCCAATGTTAATGAGTCATGATCAGCATTTTGAAAAATGATATCAAATGAATTGGAACTAGATTTTAAAATTTCAGAGTACATTGGAAGGGTCCACTCAGTCAAGATGTAAAACGTGTTTTCTATTGATAGTCATTTCCAAGCATTTGAAAGCTACTATTATGGAAAATCTACAGTAGTCTGTCCGTTCTCCCTTCCTCCTTTCCTCTCTTTCTCCCTTGCACTCTTCCTCCCTTCTTTCCTCCCTCCTTCCTTCCCTTCCTTTGTAAACAAATGGTGACACATCACATCACATAAACTGTTGTACAATTTGTTTTTTTCACTTTTTTCACAGTCTATCATGGAGATTGTTTATTATCAACATGTGCTGTTCTAGCCCATTCTCTGTACCACTGAAGACCACTATGTGTCCTGGATGCCCTGTAGTTTACATAGCCACTTCTGTCTTAGTGGACACTTAGTTTGCTTTCACTTTCTCATGATAATAAGTGCTGCTGCAGTGAATATACACCGGCTGCCTCACTGTGCATAAGTACAAGAGTTCTTTTAGGGTAGACACAGTGAAGTGAAATAGCTGGACCTGAGGATACATTGTAGCAAATACATTTTTAGGTGGCTGAGTCAATTTACACTCTGATCAGAAAAGAATCCATTTTTCTACACCTCAGTCAACATTATATATTATCAAACTTTTCCGCTGTGCCAATCTGATTGTTTTTTGTATTTATCTAAATGCTAGTGTGGTTGCTGTACTTCTTTGGTAAATTTCTTGCTTGTATCCATAGTTCTTTGTTCTTACTGATTTGTAAATGCTCTTTAGATATTCTGAATACTCATCCTTTTATTGAATTTTTTAAAAATTGAGACAGGGTCTCACTCTGTCACTCAGGCTGGAGTGCAGTGGCATGATCACAGTTCACTGCAGCCTCTGCCTCCTGGGCTCAAGCAGTCCTTCTGCCTCAGCCTCCCAAGTAGCTAAGACCACAGGCATGCACCACCATACTCGGCTTTTATATTCTTAGTAGAGACAGGGTTTTACCACATTGGACAAGCTCGTCTCGAACTAGGGTTTTACCACATTGGATAGGTTCATCTCGAACTCCTGGCCTCAAGTGATCCACCCACCTCGGCCTCCCAAAGTGTATTTTTATTCTTCATTTAAAGGTTATTAACTACCAAGCATTTGGCAAGTATTAGCCATATCATTTTATCTAGCTTTAAAAACATTCTCTCTCAGTAAATCTTTTAGATTAGCCCACTGAAAATACTACACTTCCTAACTGTTCACAAAAAAAAAAAAAGAAAAAAAAAAGCAGCATATATTTATATTACCAATTTTGTACTGAGAATATTTGTATTAAAACAATTTTTTATTAAAAAGACATCTATGAGGCTGATCACAGTTCATGTGCAATGTCAGTCATACATAATATGCCCATGATCCATGATTAATATCTATGTGGTATTTCCTACTGCAAAAATATATACACAATATTTGGTCTCCTTAAAATTTAAGTAAAATCAAAGTTTAAAATATTGGGATACTTTGCATTCTTTTACAGTTTTTATTAAAATACTAAATTTGACTAGTGTTTTAGAACTTAGAAGGAAACTACAAAATTTCTTATAAGAGGCAATTTACTTAAAAGCGTCAAAAAGTCATTACATAATTATATTTGCTGGCTTACTCTGTGGCAAGCATGACACTAAAGAGCTATTTGTTTCTCCTTTGCAGAGTTAGGTCAGAGGACTTGCAAGAAGAGCAGTCCTTCTTTTTTAGCAGGGACTTGGGTGAGACACTGGGAGGTGTTTTACGTATTTCGTCTCCTTTAAATCCACGGAGGAGACTAAATGAGTAAAACACCTCCCAGTGCCTGTAAACTGTCTGCTCCTTTGTTGGTGTAGATTCTATCCCCATTTTACAGATGAGGAGACTGAGTGCGATGGTCTAAATGCTTCTGAACCACCAAAATTCACAGGTTGAAATCCTAATCCCCAAGGCAATGGCATTTGGAGGAAGTGAGCTTGGGAGGTGATTAGGTCATAAGGGCGGAGGCCTCATGAATGGAATCAGCACCATTGTAAAAGAGGCCAGCGGGAGGTGGTCACCCGTTCTACCATGCAAGGACACAGCCAGAAGGCGCCTCTGGTTACTGCAAATACAAAACAATATCTCCTTCCCATCCTGAAATATTATTTCTCTTATTAAAAGGATTGCTACTTTTAACATGATGTTCTACCTATCTCTCTTAACATTTAATTAACTATTTTTGGAAAGCACGTAGATATAATAAGCTGGAAGCATTAGGTCTTTACAGCTATTGCTGTGCACTATATTCTGCTTTAGTATCTCATTGCATAATAAAATAGCCAAGTTAGTTGCCCATCTCTGGTGCTTTGACACTTGATTTATACTATATGTCCATTCTGTTGAAACTATAATTCACAATATACACTTTGAAGCTGTTAATAACTACAAATGAAACCCAGAAAAGCGGGTTATACTGTATTCTCCCAGTTGACCAAAACATGGTATCAATATATTATTTTTCTGAATTCCCTCAGCTAAGAATCAGGAACTTTTGGACAACAGGAGGAAAAAAAGGTTAAGAAAGGAAATCTGTGAAGAAGCAAAAAAATATAGTTTTCATGAATGGGGGGCCAAAACATACATGAGCTTCTCTATATTGGACCAACAGTCTTGTCAAACTACAATACAAATTTACTCTCACCTCTTAACTATCATAACAATGAAATAAAGTAACATAATTGTAGTTCAAATCTATAAATGTTCAGCAATCAATCCCTGTGTCCCTGGTTAGATGAAGAATCTTGAACTCATAAGGATTTCATGGAATTCATAAGGATTTCACCCAGACAGCCATGGATGTGGGATAAAGAGCAGATTCGAATGTTATATTTGAGAAGACCAGGAAGAATTAGAAGGCCTTCAATAGCACAGGAAATGTATTGGGTGTGAGGGAAGTTGTGTGTGAGTGTGGGTTCTTAGGAGAAGGAATAATTCCAGCCAAGGGCGAAGTCAGCTAAGTGACAGCTGCAACTGAAGAACAGCAAACTGTTCCGTTTAGCTGGTGTGCAGCACAATAAAAAAAAGTACAGTGTGTAAGCAGCTGAAGAGGTAGCCAGGGACCACACACGATGGTGAGGAGAAATAAGGCTGATTTTATTTCAGGAGAGGTGATCTCACTGGAAGAGGCTCAAACGGTTGAAGTCAGAGGCCTGGCTTGCATTTGTCTCTCTGCTAGGTACTAGCAATATGGTTTTCGGAAAGTCACAACATCTTTGAGCCTTAGTTTCTTCATCTGAAATGGGAGCATGGTAAAAATGGGACTAGCACCAAGGGTGCTGAGGTCATACACGTTGTGGGGTAAATCAATCTACAGTGCCCTGTAGCTGTTTCCACGTGGGGAGCACGAGCCAAGGACTGCTGAAACTTGGGACTGAGACACTGGAAATATGATGTTCCATCAGAAGAGAGAGGGAAGTGACAGAGGAGATGGTGCATGGATGATGGATACTTCTCAACACAGACCAGCAGACCATTCTATAATCAGACAAAAATTGTTTGGAAGGAGCTTGGCAGTCTAGGCCTAGATGCCCCTGCTACCCCAGCCTCCAGTGGAGTTCTCACGGAATGGCAGGAAGCTGAGTCAAAGCATCAGCTCCTTTCACCTCTGGGTGATCAGGCAACAAACTTCCTTTCATTTGAAACTTCAGGAACAAGCTGTTTAAAGGCCAGACGCAAGGCTGCTTTGAAGTCCTTAACTCTTGAATTCCGGCTGAGCCTCTTTCATGTAATGTGTCTTATATTTCTATAATGGGTAATGTCACAGTATATTTAACTAACAATCTACACCAATAAAGGAGCAGACAGTTTACAGGCCTGTAGTGTTAGAGGTTAACCTGCTAAAATTAATATACTGGTATGATTTTACACCCAGTCAAGAACTTGATCACAAAAATGATATCATTTTATTACCCTATAGAAGTTCTACCAGTCTTATGCTTAATTTAGCAATCTTATTTCAGCTTTTTTTACTTGCCTAACTACATAAATCTCTGTTCTTCAAATGTTCTTGAATCAGGTTTTTTGTCTTCCACCTGGTTCTATCATTAAAGGGTTGAAAAAACTCAGACACTTGCTAAAGAATAACTTTAAGAATTGTGCTTTTGCACCCCAATATAAAAAATAATAAGTAGTTATATAAACAGAAAAATTTTTAATTGACACACTATATGAAACATCCCAGATAAATGACTGAATCCATACTGAGCAGAGTCAATTAAGAATGAACAAGGTTCCAGCTATAGTGGAGGGCAGGCAGGTAGCCCAGAGAGAAGAAAGAGGCCTTTTGCTTTCAGGAGAGGGTAGTGCTGTAGCAACCATTATAGAATGGTTTGGACACAGCCTTAGTTATATCATCATTTTTCTTGAAGAAAGGGAATTAACAGAAGCTTAATGACTGGTTCAATGATTAATATTCCCTTATGGTTTAAATGTACTCTGAGATCCTTAAAAAAAAAATACTCCCTAGACAGGAGCCAACACATGGATAGAATC